CCTCTAAGCAGGCTGGGATGAAAAGTGCAGAATCCCTGGTCAGTGGTAGTGACCATAGTGATGGAGGAGAGCAGAGATCTTATTCCCCAGGGAGCCTTACCTCGTCCTAGGAAAAGCCCTGCCAGAGCTGGGGAAACCGCCCCATCCTACCATGCCTCCTGGGGTAATCCTGTCCTTCAGTCCCACGGGGAAAGGGAGGTGCCAGCCAGGTGCAGGGGTGTTGCAGCAGAGGTGTTGCAGCATACTCCTGAGCTGAGCGTTACATGGCAGTGATACACAAGGAGGAGGGTGGAAAATCCCTTGGGAACAAAGGGGCTTCAGTGTGCGGCCTCTGCAGAAACCTGCTCCTTCCCAGGGTGCGAGTGCAGGTAACAGGAGGGGTTACCCAGCTGCGAGAGTCAGATGCTTGCAACATCCCAGCACTGGGTGGGAGGCGGGGCAGGGTTTGTTTACCAAGCTCTTGGGACTCAAAAAGAGGGAAATTATTGTCTCTGCCCAAAATGCAGAGACATTGCTGAGTCCCTTTCCCCATCTTGAAGGTCAGGGGCTTTAGCCTCCTTTCATGGTTGGGCAAAAGCACAGCCCCACGGAGGTGAAGGGACTTAACCCTGCTGCTCTGGCGAGTCAGGCACAGAGCTGGGGAAAGAATGTAACTTCAAAAGAAAACAAAATCCCCCCAGTGTCTACTTCCAAACACAAGATTTAGGGCACTGGAGTCCTGTCTCCCCGTTTGTACCCTGGGCCAAGGCATGCAGGGCCTCTCTGATACATGGAGGACTTTCTGCTCCTGCAGCCACTGCTTTGTCTCTCAACTCTTTCCTGCCTAACCATCCGTCTTCACCAAGGGGCTAAAAATCCCTCAACAGGTGGCCGACTCTTTTTTTTTTTCTTTGCCAGGTACATATCAAGGCTGCTTTCTTTCAAATGTCCATTTTCTTTATCATACTAATTGCACCACCAGGTATCCCATATTTAATTGCCAGGGAGGGGGCCAGATCCCTGGCCTTTGCCCCACGAGCGACCTGCCAGCACCCAGCCTGCTCCCAGGACAGCAGCTCTGCTTTGTGAAAGGGTGAGACCCTCATGCCACCTTGGGGACAGGCACGGGGAACAGAGCAACCATTGGCATCTGCCAGTGCTTAAAGCAGCTGTTGCATGGTTAAGGCTCCAGAGGATTTAGCAACGATGCTGGGAAGAAGGGCACGACCCTTGGGCATCTCTTCCACCAGGTGTGTGAGATTTGCTATGAATCTTGCTCTGGGCAATAGTGCTGGGAGCTAATGGAAATGGCAAGAAGTGAAGATAAGAGGCAGTCAAAAGTCCGTCCTTTCACAGAATCACAGAATCGCTCAGTTGGAAAAGACCTCTGAGATCATCGTGTCCAACCATTCCTGTCTACCCACTTTGAGGAGATCCCACCCATCTGGCAGGGACCTGAGAGGGCGCTGGTGGTGGGAACGCCAGTGGCACCCAAGCACCCGGCCCCACACAGGAGAGCTGCGAGCCATTCCTGCCAGGGAGGGATGCGAGCACTATAAATAGTTTGTTTAACACACCATGGCCAGGCCCTGGAAAGCCCCGGCCCATGCGCATTCCCTCCTGCTGGCGCCGAGACAACAGCTGTTGAAAAAAGCCAAATTCACCAGCTGCTCCCTGGTGCTCTTGGCCACTGCCCCACACCCCCAGTCCTCCCGCTCCCCTCCCAGGGTGGCTGAGCCCATGGCATCCCTTGGCACGGCCACCAAGGCCAAGGAGGTGCCAGCTCTGTGCTGGCGTTGGCGCTGCTCCCCGGGTGGCTGCAGGATGCTCCCACTGGGGGGGATGAGGAGGATGGGGCTTTCCTCCCCAGCCGCCCTTGCAGCAGTGGGGACACTGGGGGCTACGAAGGCCATGCTGACAGCAGCTGTTGCCCACGCATGTGTCCTTGGCTGCGGGTCCCCCCAGCCCTGTGTTGGGATGCCGGGCTGGGCCATGGCCCCCCACCCACTGGCTCTGCTCACACAAAGGGCCCCTTGTACCCACGGGACTGACATTCTTGCAGCCCTGGACCCGGGGCACAGCAAAGCATGGCGGAGGGGGAGACAGGGCCAGGGCCCGGCTGCCGGGACAGCTGGTGGGGCCAGGTGGGGATGGGCTGTGGTCCTGCCCTTCCTCCCTGGGCCTGGAGGATGGAGGTGAGCAGCGGGGACCCCCGGGGATGAACAGGCAGCTCCAGGCTGTGGGAGGCAGGGGCATGGGGTGTGGGAGAGGATGCTGTGGTACTGGGGAGCAGGAGCACTGGTGCTGTGCACCCGTGGGTGCTGCCTGCCCACTCCACATGCTCTCATCCAACGCAGACCTGTGGGATGAGCGTGGGAAAGCGAGGAGTGGGCTGGCTCTCACTTGGTAGCACCCATTGCAAGGAAACCCTAAAACTAAGAGCAGCTTTGGCCACATCTGGCCCCCAGCCACTCTTACTCCTCACACCAGCATTTAAGGACTCCACTAGGCCTCCTTCTTGTTGCCCATTGCAATGACTGGGGGTGAGCCATGCTACTTATTGTGGTATTAGCTGGCAGCTGAGGACCTTTTTTTTAGACCCCTCGTCGATACTGGGCTGCCAGCTGCCAGGGCCGGCGAGGGAAGGGATCTGCCAGCTGGCACCGGGAGGGAGGGAGGGAGGGGTCTTCTGGTAAGGCTACGCCAGGGACACCTGTCATCCTAAAGCCGGGGCATCGCTGTGCCCTACAATCAGGCCTGTGTGCATGCGATGAGGCCTCACAGCTGGGACAGTGATGACAGCTCTGCATGCTTGCCCCTCTGTCCCATTCTGCCCCCCTCACCCAAACATTTGTTTCTCAGGGGCTTCGGGGCTGCATGGAGAAGGGGGAAGCAGAGAAGACCCGGGGAAGAGGCTGGTCAGGGCAGCAAACTGTGGGCAACGCTGACCTACAAAGTCTGCTGGGCCAAACCCAGCCTCACTGGCTGCCTCCAGCTGTTGGCAGGCCGCTGGCAAGGCAGGGGACGGTGACAAGTTTGCTCCAGCTGCTTGCATGGCAGACACCCATTGGTGCCCTGGAAAGGCCTTTGGGACACCCTGGCCAGACCCAGGGCTGCCCTAGCCCTGGAGCATGGCTGCACCCACGTTCCTAGGGCGGAGGCTGGGGTGAAGCTGCCCCTGGTCCCTCATCCCAGCACTAACACATTCCTCCTCCCACTGACACTGGAGAGTGAGCACCAGCTTTTCTTCCACTTGAAAAATCCCTGGGATAACCCAACAGCCCTGCTAAAGGCACACTGTTTGCTCTCATTTTGAAAAGCGGTGCTCCCCTACACCTCTTTTACATAAGTGCTGTCCCTGTGTGCCAGTGTTAAGACCTCCCTGCAAAGGAAGACGGGAGTTTTATAAAATCCCAGGGGATATGGACCCCTGCATCCCCATGGCAAGACCTGCACCTAGTGGTGCTCCTCCACCCACACCCCAGCCTGGTCAAGCAGCATGCCCTGGGCTTGGCTCCACATCTCATCATTCCCCAACCCAGGCCATGGCGAGCAGAGGACAGATGTGACCCCCAAGTCACTGCCTGGGCCACATGTCTGACAGATCCTGGTTTATTCCCGGAGTGCGCAGTGAGCAGGGTGAGGAAGCAGAGCTGCCAGGCGGGCAGCAGTGGTTATTGCTGCAGGTGCATCCTCCAGCGACGACGACAGGGGTCTAGAGGGTGCTATCTTCCTGTATCTACAGTGCAAAGGATGGGCCCTTGACCACCGTCAAGCTGGAGCCACCCCATACCCCAGAAGAAGGTGAGGGAACTGGAGGAGCACAGAGAAGTGCAAATATGTTGGCACTGGAGCCCATCTGCACTGGGCAAAGGAGCCCAAGGGAAGAGGAGAGTGTAACAGTGTGGGGAGGTGAGGGAAAGGGGGAAAAAACCCGACTGTGTGCCAGAGAACACCCCCCAAGCCTCCCAGGTACGGGAGAGGAGGCCGAGCTGCTGTGATGGTGGTGGCATTGCTGTGCCCATGTGGAAGAGAGGAGCTTCTGCTGTGCCACAGGGTGGCATGTGGTGGGGGAGCCCCCAGACATTCAGTGCTTAGTTTGCAGGGTTTGGCCCAGTGGGTGGGCAAAGGCAGGGGCGTGGAGGTGGAAGGGATGTGTTGAAGGCCACGCAAAAGGAGCCCATGGGCTTCACGCTTTGGTCGTGGTTAGTGGTGATGAGTGCAGTGCAAGGGCTTCAAGAGGAAGCATATGGCTCTAGCTCCCTGGGAACCCGCTGCTAGAGCAATGCAGCACCCGCCGATGCTCCAAGGTGTGCGCAGAAATGGGCAACGTGTGCCAGCGGGGATGGAACAACACAAGAGCAAGCAATATGGGTCCCCCTCTGCCCCCTGCAGCTCCTGCCTCTCCTTGCTCCGCAGCCAGCCCCCAGCCTTCTCCTTCACTCCCGCCAAGCTCGGTGCAGGGATGCAGAGGTACCCCATGCTGCTGGCCCTTCTCCTGTTCTGGGGTGGGGAGAGAGGAAGGCGGCAGTGGAAAGAAGCCCAGCCCAGAAGAAGAAAAGGGCGGCCTCCGCCTGCCTTGACCCCTGGTCCACCGGAGAGGGTGGCGTGAGGCTTGCTGGGAGGCAGGGCTGGTGGCTCAGCATGGGATGGAGCAAGGATGGAAGAGTATCCTCTGTCCACAGGTCTGAGGGGAGGCACTTGGAGGGGTCCTGGCCCGCTAGG